GTATTTCTGGGTATGGGGGAACATGTGACATTCTCCCCTTCCGACCATTAGATTAATGTGTAAGTGGGCATTAGTCAGGCCCATACAACGTTACTCAGGACTGAAGGGAAGGTCGCTGGCCCTCTGTAAAAACTGACACAGACTGACACTCAGCCTGCAGGCGGACAGGGCAACAGGGGAGCTTGGAAAGTATTCATGGAGGAGGTGTTAAGAAACCCTGTCATCTTTCCCAATTGTCTTTAAGCACACCGGTAGTCATGATTCTCAGTCTGTAGGAACTCATGTGAAAAGCCTTTAATTCTTCAAGCATTTGCAAATCTTTGAAGGCCCTAACGCAGCCAAGCTTCTATGAAAGCACCACCATCATTTTGTGAAAGGAGAAACTCTGCAGAAGATCTAAACCTCTTCCCAACCAACAAAAATTATTAAAACACATAAATGTCACTCTCTCATTTATCATTCATAAATAACGCAAACATACTAATAGCATTGCAGACCATTGTTGTCGTTGTCCCTTAAAGCCTTGGTTCTCAACTGGTGGGTCGTGACCCAAAACTGGGTCGCAAGCCTGTGTTCAGTGGGTCGCCGCATACCTTCCATTTTCTAGGTGAGAGGCTCCTCTGCCCTCCCTAGCGCAGCACCGTCAGTTCTTGTGCCGAGCAGCCATTCAAAATATGCTGCGCGGAGGCGAGTGTCAGCTTGAGGTGGGCTGGGGGTATGGCTGCAAAGAAGCTCCATCCATACGTGCATTGCTTACAGCTCCCTCGTGTGTCCTATAGCGGTGCCTGGACCGGAGTGACATCAGATTCTGGCTCCCGGCACCTCTACCAGCTCAAGGGAGCTGTACAAGCAATGCACATGTGGATGGAGCTTCATCACAGCACAGCAGTCCACACTGGACCCCAGACTGGGGATCCACTCCAGTTCTCATAAGGTTATAGCTACTGGGTGGACCTTAAAAAAAATAGAAATTTTTTTTTGGAGTGTGTGTGTGTGTATATGTATGTCAGTGTTTTTGAGGCCCGTTCACACTAGTACACTGCGTTAATCACATAGTGCCATTTGAATGGTGTCCCAAACGCACCTCCCACCCACAGTTCATACGCCTGCATTGGAACGTGCGGTACCCTAATGCTGTGCGTTCCATTGCAGTGCAGACATTGCAGACTTGGGTCGCGACTTAATGACCAAGGACAAATGTGGGTCCTGAGGTTACACAGGTTGAGAACCACTGCCATAGACCACCCTTCTTCTCCAGTCCAGGAGTGCTGAATACAGATCTTAATAGGAGTGCTGGATGTAAAGCTGTAAAAATTGCTTTAAGCGTGCTATAAGTCTGCTAAAAGCTTGTTTAAAGCTAGGGCCAGCACTTCCATTATCATCTTCAGTCAGGCTGAGACTGAAGGGTGGTTAAAGAGCTTAAAGAGAACTGCTCAAAGGTTGGTAAATGCATTAGAAACACTTGCTTAATCTGATTGTCTTCAGAGCAGTGATTATAAGCTATGGCCAAAGTTTTAGCACTGCCCAGGCATCAACTAGGAATAAAACACAGAAACAAAATAAAGAGGCCCTGTCTCCGTGGTGACATGATGTGTTCAATGCCAAAAGCAAAAGAGAAACAGGATGTCACCAGCACTAGGCGTGCTGGTGGCATCTTCTTTCTCTTCTGATCGATGCGGCACCCTCTGCTGTCACTTCAGCACTCATCTTCTTAGGGGTTGTCCAGTGTGGCAGGATACCTTCTAGACTCACAATGCCAAAAGCAAGATGATAACAAATGAAACAACTCACCGGTAATCTTGTCTCTGACCAGCTTGCAAGATTCAATTTCTCCAATACTGCCAAACAGGCTCTTGAACTCCTCCTGTGTCATGTTCTGTGGAAGATAGTTGACGATCAGGTTGGTTTTGCTGTCGTCCGCGGCCCCGTTTGTGCCGTTGAGGATGCCCACGCTGCCGGGACCATTACTGGCCTGTGTCTCCATGGTGCTGATTATCTGCTGGAGAGAAGAGAAGAGGAGGCGAGGGCAAGACGTCAGCATCCATCAAATAAATCCCTGAGTCAGTCACGTCAGCCATCACAGTGCACTTCATATTATGTCATCTAGGAAATGGGTAAAGTCATCTTTAATGGCCTTGAGATCATCGGTGGCCTCGTGAGGACCACAGGTTACATTTGCATGATTGCATGATGGGATACAGTAAAGATTGTGATATCAGCGTACTGACTATAAACCAGAATATGAGCTCACTAAGGTTCCCGGCACCAAGTTGTGTTAGTCATCAGTCTGAGTCATATCATTTGTATTTCTCTATGAAATTAAAGTGCCAGCCCAACCAAAATTGATATTTCTGTAATGGGAGCGCAGTGGTCAGCTGAATCACCCATTGGTTTGTTATATATTTGGGGAGTGTTCTCAGCGAGACCACCCTACCAGAAATCCTGATACATCCCCCACTGAACCGCAGAGTCTCAGTCACCCAGCTATAATGTCAAATCCCACTGGGAGGTGGACACATGTCAGGAACCAGATATGAACCCAGGGCCTCTGCTGTGGCTGGCAGTGGTTCTACCTGCTGAGCCACCTTAGAACCTTGGATAGCTTCTTACCTGATCTCCTGTGTAATCCTCAGGTAAACCTAGCTTCTGCTGAACTCTGAACTCCTTGCTCCTCCCATATTTAAGCCATGCCTCTGCACTTCCTGTTTGCCAGATTATTGTGCTCCTGCCAATATCTTGCTTCCTGCTCCTCCTGTGATACAGCCCGCTCATACTGCTACCCGTGTACTGACCTTTGGCTGCTGATTCACCGACTACTCTCATCGTCTTCCGCTTCATACCTGATACCTTTGGCTACTGACCTCGGCTTCATCTCTGACTACGCTTCTGCCTGCTCCTATATTACTACAGTCTGCTTGTGTACCGAACTCGGCCTGTTTGACTACGGCTTTGCCCGCTCTTACAGCTACTGGACTCTGAGCCTGATCCAGATTGTGACAGCACACTCCATGTAATGGCTTTGACTGGTAGGCAGGGATGGTAATAGACATATAAAAAGATGTTGGGTTATCTGTGTCCAGACCATGGACATTAAAATATTTACATACTTTTTACAAGTCAACCTCTCTAGCCGCTTTTTGTGTGAAGTTATTAATTCTCAAAGATCCTCAAAGATCACAGCAAACGCCCTAAAGTTGGTTTCTAACAGCTTACAAAACCTGCTGCTTGCTTATTGCCAAGATCTGTTCTCATAGGAAAAACACACTGCTCTGTTGTGAAGTTTGAAAATGAGTTTCTTCACAATGCATATAGCTACAGAGGTGAATGAGGGCCAATTACCAAGCTCAAGCTTGGGTCATGGAGTAAATCACCTGCCTGGACGTATCACACAGTTTCTTCATCATTCTCGGAAGCAGGGCAGTGAAGTGAAGATGAGTATGTGCTTTAATGCAAATTTGTCGCTTTGCTCATTTTCCCCTAGGGGCTTGGGTAAAGCACTTTTGCAGACCATATGACCCCTCTGCTCACAGACCCGAATGGCATTCACGAGCTCATGAATATCATTCAGGAGCTCCCGAATGTGGTATGTGGTATACTATTTGACAGCTGACAATGTCAAATGGGCAGAGCCCCGGCTCACTCTGCCCATTTGTTTACTTTCGGTAAAAAGTCTTGTCTTTTGCGGCGAGTTGACGTCGGGTTCGAGCGGTCGTTGTGCAGCGGGACTTTTTTTTATTTCGGCGGGTGTCGTGCATCGTGATTGATGCTGGATTACATCGATGGAGCCATTTTTAAAAAAATTTTTTATTAAAGGAATAGTCAAAAATGAACTCTTTGTTTTTTTTTCAATGAAAGTGTGGTTTGTTTATTTACATTGAATTTTAACCCTTTAGTGAATGGGTAGGGGTACAAGTACCCCTTACTCATTCACAAGGGGGGGCGGCATCTGGGTGCCCCCTTAATTAAAGGGGAACCCAAATGCAAATTAGCCCCCTTGCCTGCAGACCCCCACAACTACCGGGTCAGGGTTGTGTGGAAGAGGCCTTTGTCCTCATCGTCATGCAGACACCTTCCCAATGCCGAGGGCACGTGGCCTGGTAAGGCGCAGGGTGGCGCTCGATCGTACCCCTCCCTTTCCTGCCGAGCCTGTGCTCGGATAAAGGGTCTGGTAGGAATGTTAGGGGTGACCCCACGTTTTTTCCCCATTTTTTGCGGCCTTAAAATTCCTACCAGACCTAAAGGGCCTGGTAAGGATTTTGAGGGGAACCCAATGCACTTATTTTGTTTGTTTTAACTTGGGGGGGTCCCTCCTAACATTCCTACAAGGCCAAAAAGGTCTGGTATGAATTGGGGGGGAACCTCACGCTTTTTTTTTCCTCTAATGTCACTTTGCTGCAATGAAATTTCATCTACAAACGAGTTTTCGTACAGACTACCGCTAACTAATTTCGTCCGAATCCCAAAATGAATTGACTTTTGGACCCGATTCCCGAAAAACGAAATAACGCAAAATCCAAAACGAAACACATTTTTTGCCGGTGCACATGTCTAGATAGTATCCATCTTTTACCGATCTGACTTTAGTAGAATTCATTCTGATTGGCTTCTGCGGATTACTGCACTCTTCTCACCCGGATAAGCCCGTTAGTGTCTCAACTGTCACTTGACTGTCACATTCATGAAATGCACCCACTGTGGCAAAGCCTGAGAATGGAACATGTGTTCCGTCCTGACAGTGACAAATAAAACTTGTTGAAGCATGTCCGCCTGCTCCTTATTCTCTGGTAATCTTTTTTCACAGGCCGCTGCAACCGTGAAAGGTCTGCGGCGCTGCAAGACATCTGCCCTTTTTTTCTTTTTTTTTAACACACGTCTTTCCTTTCCATACCAGTAACATCGACAGTTATCAATGAAAGAGAAAAAAAAAAAAAACTTGTTAATTGCTAATTACTGCATTGGAATTGTAAATATTCTGGCTGTAGAGATTAGCGAAGTGAACGTGCAATAATAAGGCGGCCATGCTGCGCCTTCCCTCTCCGATATAAATGAGAAATTCTCAGCCACCGGATACAAGGCATTGTGGAAGGTTGTGGCGAGAAGCGACAGCAGCGAGCTAGCATCTGTCAGCCAGTGAGCCATACGCCCCATGTAATTAGCATGGCAGCCGCGAGTGAGCAGGATGACTTTAACGAGATTTCAGCCGAATTAGGCCATAAAGACCCTTTTCATCCTCCGGGCTGGGATTAGGAAATAAACAGCGAGAGAAAAAAAAGAGATAAGGCTTTAAACCCATTACTGAAATCACCCCCCCGGACGGCAGCGGAAGGGTTAACGACAAGGCCGCATTAAAACCCCTCCGAGCGGATTCTTTTCTAAGAACAAAACGCTGACAGTTCCTTAACTGGGCACCGAATCATTGTCACTGACCCAGATATGCGAGCCCTGGTATCAGACATGTTCATACTATCTGACCGGCGCTTCTCCGGGGGCACGGCTGTCAACCGTTCGAGATGTCCACGACGCACACCCTAGATTTAGGGGTTTCAAATTACTAAAACAAAAACAAATCCCCTGTCTCCGTTCATTAGATTCACTTCTGAATATGTCTTCATGTCTCTTCATGCTAATTTACAATGGCGTAAAAAGGTCTCTGGCCCGTTCCTGGTTGGCTTAATTATTGCCTATTTTTGATGCTGACATTTTTAGCCCCCCCTGACCAAAAATGAATGTTAGATTAAAGGACTATGGACTTTGAAACAAGCCCTCACTGACCTCTGTAGCTGCAGGTACTGTTGAGAAATTCATCCTTAAAGCAGAAATGTGGCCATGGACGTTCAAATCTTTATATACCTAAAGTGACATTAAACTCAGGAGTTAAATCTTAAAAATGCATTCAACTACCTTAATTATTAACAAAAAACACGTGCTGGGGAATGAGGTACCGCACGTCACTGCTGTAGATCCACAAATCATCTCTGAATTGCTGACACTGTCCTTCTTTCTGGAGGGTAGCTACTTTTGTTCCCCATGGTCCCTGTGTGTGTTGTAAAGCAGCCACCGCTCCAAGCTCACTCTCGTAATAGACTACAATCTCAATACAAATGAATAAACTAAACGTGAAATGTTGAGGATGAATCACTCCACCCCGCCTGCAGCTACAGGTGTCATTCAAGGCTTGTTTTAAAACTCATACGCTGCTTGTTACGAATATGTAAATTTAAGAGTTTAGTAAGCACCCAGAAAGGATTTACTGCCCAATAAACTCACTGAAAGAGGACCTGTATAGATACAAATATGATACAGTAACTAAGCAACTAATAATCAATACAATGCAAGCTTAGGGGCATCATCTTCATTTTCCTGCTGCTACTAGGTGAGTTACTGACCTGGATAAAAAAATTAAAAAAAAAACCAGGGAAACCTCAGGACTGCATCATTTTTATTTAGATCAGTGACCATCTAGGTCAGGGGTAATCAAACTTCGGCCCTCCAGCTGTGATGAAACTACAAATCCCATGATTTGGATGACTTCCAGAGGCCAAGGAATGACAAGACTTGTAGTTTCACCACAGCTGAGGCGGCCAAAGTCTAGCTACCTCTGCTTTAGGCAGTGAAGCCAAGTTAAGGAAGACAACTCGGGTCTGCAGCTTTAGAAGCAAGTCAGTGCCCGTATAGCTATCTTGCCAGGATTCATTGAAGAGCAGTAAATGCTTTGTCAGGTAAGCGTCCTTCAGACTACAATGGCTACATGTACATACACGCCATAGCAACCACAGTGCTACATGCATGAAAAGAAAAAGGAACAATGTCTACACCAAGCTGAAGAGTAAAGACAAGTACAGAAGATTAACCTAATTATTTACTATATTTAAAGCACCAAGTCCAAGTCAGGTCGGTGCTTTCAAAGGTTTGCCTGATGAGTACAAAAAAAGTCAGCCTTCCATTTTCCGGGTCCGTCTACTTACTTAAAGGCTAAGGGTCTGCGTCAACGGGATTTTG